CACACACACACACACACACACACACACACACACACACACACACACACACCAGTCTTCTCAACCTCACAGCTCTCTCCGTTGCATTAAATTAGCTCATCTCCATGTGTGACAGTGTCTAAATCAACACTGCCCTGTAGATCATACTGACTCTCATTAAAAACTGTTGATGATTACAGATGTGTCTCTGTCTCCGCCCTGTTTACACCCTGTCACCATTACCTCCATCACAACCACAACTCACCCCTCAGTCATATGTCTCCATATTCATCTAGACTCACCCCCTTACCTCTACCTTTTTATTTTGTTATAACATCATCCATTTTGTCTCATCCATTTTCAGCAGCCTCTCCATCATCCATTTTGTGTTTACTCATCTATTATTTTGTCTTCTGTGTTGTCTCCCCCTCTCTCTCTCTGTCTGTCCCTTCTTTTCCCCCCCTCCTCAATTACCCATCTGTTATTCATCCCCCCCTTTCTTTTTTTTCATTTGTTTTATTTTGTTTGTTTTGTTATTTTTGGATGTAGCAAGTCTCACAGCTTCTGTCCATGCTCCATCAGGGCCAGTACCAGCCCAGACCCAGTTTCCGTGGCAACAAATACTCCCGCAGCTACAGGTAATTCACCCCGATTCCCTCAGTACCCCCCCCACCCAACCACCCCAACCCAAAAAACAAAACCAAGATTATCTTTTGTTCACTTTTCAAACCACTTGTGTTTCATTGTTTACTACATGTTCCAACAACCTGTTGTAAAGTTTTACCTGGTCAGTTACATGTAGATCATGGTTTGATGGCGTGTTAATGTATTTTTTTTTCATGTTCCAATTGTTATCATACCAATGCCATTCAGTTCAAAAGTATGCAACTCATTTGTCTGAATGTCACAACAATTTCCTCGGTACTCCTCTTCTTAAAAACATTTTCTCGGGCTGTGAAGTGTGAATCCATTACTATTTTCATCATAATATTCCTCCTTATGATCTCCACATGATAGATTTATTGATGCCCGCTGTGGCTGTTGGAATAGATTTATTGATGGGACATACCTGCACGTAGAATTTATGGGCAGAGCCTCGTCTATGGGGATTCTAAAGATTCCAGTCTAAAGTTTTATTTGATGGATTTATTTGTCATTAGTCTCCTCCATGAGGAGAGATTGATTCTGTCAGCCTGCAAAACAGAATTCACACAGCGCTCATTTGCAAAATGTGAATTTGCATCATATTTGTTATTCCGATGTGTTTGTAATCTTTTTTTTATTTTATTGAATTGTTCCCCCATAGGTATGCATTACAAGACATGGACAAGTTCAGCCTGAAGGACAGTGGCCGTGGGGACAGCGAGGCGGGAGACAGTGACTGTGACATGGGGAGGGAATCCCCCGTGGACAGACTGCTGCTGGGGGAGGGCTTTTCTGACCTGATACACCTCGAAATGCACCATCGACTCCACCCAGGTGAGCTTCAGGAAACCAACTCTCACAGTCTCCCTCTCCCCTTTGTGATGACACACCACAACAACTTTTCCTTCTCCTTTTTGTTTGGTGCACTCTTTTCAGCATGACGTGGCAATGTGTTTTCCAGTCAGCTGAGTCACACCTCTGCATAGTCTTATCTTGCAAACGTGTTGGTCAAAAGTTGTTTTTTTACCTCCAACCAAATTTAAATTTGAACTAGAATTGATAACTCGTGATGTCCTCAAGACCACACATTTCAGCACCATGGACAGCGCCAGGCCTAAGCCCCATTATTCGTCTGTACACCTGCCTATACAGCCGCTCCATTCACCCCTGCCGCCGACACAATCCCCATTGTGCTCAGCCCCATTCTTCCACACAAGCCCTCATTTCCACGCTCGTTATCACTGAGAGAGGTTACAGTGTGTCTGGCTGTTTGCGTTGCTGTGTGTGGGGTTGTTGTGTGTGTGTGTGTGCGTGTTATCTGCCCCTCAGATAGAGTCGTGTCTGTAAAATCCTCCCCTGAGCGGAGATGAGTTGCCTGTCACTCATCACTATGCGTCTCAGGGTGCTGTTTTTTTTCTTCTCTCCCTTCTTTTTCTTTTCTTTCTCCTTTTTTGAGTGACAGTGTTGCGCTTTCATGTCTGAACTGAGGAGAATTCATAGTAATTGCTTTTAGAATGTTATTCTCTCTCTCTCTCACACTCACTGACAATCCCTTCCTCGCTCTACCCTAGAAAGCCAAGAGCTCCTCTGCATCTCTCTCTCTCTCTTCTTTTCTTGTTAATGTATTCTCTATCTTTATTGAGATGGATAAAGGGAGGGGTGGCGGACATGGACAGTCTTTCTGTATTTATTTTTTCTCTCCCTTTGAGAAAGACTTAGAGGTGTTGCACCCCTCCTCATTCACCCTTCCCTTCCTCTATCTTTTATGCTAATATGAAAAACAGGGAGGGGAAGGAAATAATAGGCCGGGAGGGAGGATTTTCCCTGTTTTCTCTCCAAAAGATTTAATTTGTTTAGATTTTTCTATTTAGATGAGGGGGGAAATGTGGCTATTCATGCTGGATATGATAAAAGAACTTAAACAAGAAAATCCCTGCCTGAGCTGTGTCGTGCTGGCTGGGCAAAGCAGCCAAATATTACATTAACGTCTGCCTGTGATGCCATTTGGGTGGGATCTGGCACTTATTTACTTTTCCGTCTAGAGTCCTTTGATTGTTAACATACCTGCATGAGCGCTACCTGGATATATGTGCTGTAAAGTGTAAATACTCCAAAATCTGCTCCTCAGCAGGAATAAGAAGAGGTAAAAAAAAGAACTTACCTCTTCCAGGTTGAGCTGTGATTTCTTGATATTAATAAAAGACTGAAGCGCTGCCATGTGAAATATTTACAAGGTATTATGCATGAAGCATTTTATTAGCATGCATGGTTTTTCAGACTCAACAGCATCCCTGCACTTGTTTCAGTGTATTAAATAGAACTGTACCATTCTCCTCCATGAGCAGTATATCTCTTAAGTGTGACATTACTTTACCACAGTCTCAGGGTTTATTACTTGTTTTATTCAATTGTATTGACATTTTCTGTACCGCAGCAATGAACACTTTTAACAAATCCCACTTCTTTGTGAGGAGATTTGACTTTGAGTTTTTGGTTTTGCAGTTGTTCCGGGGTTTTTTTGTTTCATTTTCTTCTTGTAGCGGAACATGCTCCTGACTGTGTCTATGTGTTTTCTTTTTTGTTGTTGTAGCCATGAGACTGTGCACGGATGAATGTCGTGTCCTGGGACACTCTGACCAGTGCTGGATGCCCCCTCTCTCCTCGCCCGCTTCCTCCTCTGACTACCGCAACAACATGTACATCCCCGGGGAGGAGTCCTCGCAGCAGCCACAGCTCGACGATGACCAGTCTTCGGTCGACTCAGAGCGCCGCAAGAGCTTCTCCACGTTTGGTAAAGAGTCTGGGAGCGAAGAAGCCATTGCCGGGGGAGTTGTCGCCGGAGGAGGAAGTGATGCATGTGCGGCCGGAGGAGGGGCTGGCTCCCTCCTCACAGAGATGAACTCTGTGTTCCAGCGACTTCTCCCCCCCAATATGGACTCCTACACAGAGTGCACTGAAACAAGCCCCCCCCCCTCCTCGTCAACTACTGAGAGAGGAACTGGACGTAGCAGCAACACTGCAGGTAACCACAGTAACAACACTGTTCCTCAGGATAGCCGCAGAGGGTTGCTGCCAGGTGGGAAAGGTCCCGCTTATCCCCCAGGTGTGGCTGCATGGGCGGCAAATACCCACTATCTGAACCCTGGAAGTGGATCTGTGGGTACCAACCACGTTTCCCCCTCTTCCTCGTCCTCCACTTCCTCTTCATCTTCGACCCCAACTGCCACCTCCACTAATGGGCAGCCGCCTCACCTCAAATGGCTACCAGCCATGGAGGAAATCCCAGAGAATTATGAGGAAGATGACTTTGATGGCGTCTTCCACCAGGGTCACCAAGGTGGGAAGCGCAGCGAGAGCCGCCATGAGGCTGGCATGGACGCTAGTGAGCTGGTGCATGAGATCAACAAACTGCTGCAGGATGTCAGACAGAACTAGAGAGGGAGAAAAACATGGCGTGGCATGCTATCACAATGTGAGGAGAGAGAACAATTCAACACATTCTGGCAAATGCTTGTTCTTCGTGCCATCGTATACATATAAACTACATGATGACTGTTTCTTGTTCACTGTAATGCTTGTCTCGTCTGTTTTACCAAATATCCTCTTTGCTGCTCAGTGCTGAGAGACTCGCAGAGAAAAAGTAAAACATGGCACTGAAATTATGATGGAGGTGACTTAACGGCATCAAAGCCAGCGCGCGGAGAACAGATTGCTCAGTTGTCATTACAGTCCCTTCGATTTCAAACCGAAATCCACCCACAAAAACTGTACCCTTTCTTCATTTGTAATGTTTACAGCAGCAAGAACAGACTCCGCGGGGAGAAACCAACAGCTGTGTGATCTAATTTCTGCTTTTACAGTGTACAATATTGTACAGTGTCTGTGGGAAAAAGGCAAACTCACTTGAATATTGTGCTACGTCTCCTGTTTTGTTATTATGGAATGTAACTGTACAATTTGACCTTTGTATTTTAAAAATACACTCTTTTCTACTTCTATATATTTATATGTGTCCATGTATGTTTGTACAGAAAAAGAAAACAAATGTCTATTTTTTATATTGTCACTGCATGTCTTAATATCACTCAATGTGTCTCATTTCCTCTGCCCTGTTTATTTGATAAAACAACTGTATTTAATTTTCTTATTGAATGTGTGTGCCTGTGTGTGTGCGTATTAATAATATCACATTCCAATGCAGTTCCATGTAGGAATTTGGTTTTGTATGATATCATTGTGACCAGTGGATGGTAAATAAAGTGAAGGGATTCATAACACGGTTGTGTCTGAAAAAATATCCTTTTTTTTAAATTAAGTTCAGCAATATTTATTTATTGACTTATTTGAGTCAAATTGTCTGTTTCTTTTCATATCTCATATTTTCCTCACAAAGAGCTTCCATTTGCCCCCCTATCTCTTAGCACCCCCTAATGTCCAGCATTAAAACTGCAGCACTCTGCATACAGTGACAATCTGCTGCATGTGTTCCAAGCAAACCTCATTAAACCTCATCTCACATGCACGATCCTGCTAATGAACGTGCCATTTTTCATGAATTTATTCCCAAACGATCTCTTTAGATTAAAAAGCATTTAGGCATTAATTTAAATTTAGAGGATGCGTTGTCTCACCGTCTCTTTCAACCATGAAAGCATCACACTTAAAATATGCTCCGAAAATGAGCAGCGTCTGATAATAGCTGCACATGATGGGGAATCAGCAGCATGATATTGTACAACGCAGCCATATGGCCTTGTAATACAATTAAACAGAAAGTGGGAGGTGAGCGCCTCCCCTCACTCACGCTGCTGGTGATCGTGGGGCCTAATCTTCAGCTGATACTCTCACAATCAAAAGAACACGCACATGGTACGCACACTGTCAAGAGACAATAGGATACTGATTTGTGTTTAAAAGAGGGAGCACTGAACAACTAAGGCTAACTGAAGAAATTAACCTCATGAGACGGAGCTTTCCTTCAAAACATGGCCACACATGCACATACACACATACACACACACACACATTTATACAGTAGACTGGCAGGTGCATGCACACATGAAAACACAAACACACACTCACTTAACATGCACATGCAAACACCTGATAATGAGCTCATTTGTCTTCATCATTAAAGAGGCCAAGCCTCGATAAACAACAAGCACTTGCTGCGTGTGTGTGAGTGAAGGAAACTAAAGCATGCTAAATGCTAAATTAGCAAAGGCTCTTGAAATCCCAACAGTTTAATATTTAACAGTGTAACAGTAACAGAGCAGTCTTATGTATGGTCGTGCACTGTACAATGAGTAGTTTGAAGTGAGATGTTTTAGCTCAGCTTAGCATAAAGACGGTGGGGAAATGTTATGCCAGGCTAAGCAATGTGTGTGTGAGTGAAGGAAGGAAGCTAAAGCATGCTATATGCTAAATTAGCTTAAGCTGCCTGTAAACCATATTAGGGCTTAATATTAAATTGTGTCACAGCAGCTAATGCACTCGTCATAACTAGCTATTGTTATGGAAGTTTTCAGGAAGCTGGTGAAAGGAGAACTCAGCTAATGTCTTATGCAGAAGATTTTAATGTAGACTTGATGCATCAAGGAGACCAGAAGGTGCAACAATATACAAACACTAACAGAGTAACATGAGACATTGTCTCCCCCAAGACTGAAGATGTCTCCCACAGCATCCCAGTATATCTTCCTCTAGCCTACTGGTGTCACCCATTCTAACAGCACAACTGTCATGTGTCATCAATGAAAGACTAGAATTGCTGTCACTCTATGTTACATGAAGATGTTTGCATCCTACTGGATACTGGTGTAATATGCAAAAGAGCATCTCAGTTAGATATGAAGGTCCCTAAGTGTAGACACTATGCACTGTTGGTTGGTCCTTTTTCTATAACCTGACCTAGGGTACTGCTCAGAGAGAATGGAACTTCTCTTCATGGTGTACAGATATAATTTAATTTACACTATATATATACATAATACAGTATATAGTGGCATATACAGTAATGTGTGAGGATATATACGAAAATTCCTCAACAGCTATGATGTATGGTCGTGCTTTTAATACTATAAAGTAGTAGTTTATTATTTACAGCTGTCACACCATGTATGGAGCTTTGGACTTAGCTTAGCTTAAAGGCTACACAATTGTGGATAATGTTACAGGCCAGGCTAACTCTTTTCCTCCTGATTCCAATCTTTATCCTAAAGCTAAGCTAGCGGATTGTCGGCTGTAGCATCATATTCAGCTTCAGCCGTATCAATCTTCTTTCCTGTAACTATTTGTCAAGGAAGCAAATAAGAACAAATTGCCAAACTATCAATTTAACCATGACAAACTTTCACAAATGTAACAGAAGGAAAATAAACAATAGATATTTAATGTTTTTAATACTTCCACCAAATGTGTGTGTCATTTCAAAATAAGACTGGCAATTCATGATGGATGATCTTTAGCACAACAATCTTCTTTAGCACATGGTAATGGCGTGTGTAATAGGAGAAACACACAGGCTGGGTGTGAAATCCGCTGGTGCTCATTTATTACCACTCACATAATTAATTTGACACAAATACAACACTGGCACCGATATGATGTTGAAATATGAACTTCAGCTTATCATTGTTTTAGCAAATCCACCATTAAATTGTTTGTCAGTCTCACTCGACTTGCGGCTCATTTTTCATCCTCAAACGTGCTCTCCTCCTCCACAGCGCCCACCCCTCCCTAACTTATAATGACCACCCACCGCCAAACCTCCATATCTCACTCTCATCTTCTGGCTATTTCTGTCTGTCCATCTGTCTGTTCGACACACACACACCCATAAATATTCTCCTTCACACAGAAACAGACAAACATGCTCGTCCAAATCCCAGCAACGTTCTCAGTGGATTTGACAGCCCCATGTCCCCACAGACTTTAGAATTTGTAATCCTCTTTTCTACTTGATCACATCTCGCCTCTGTCTGATCATTATTATTTCGCTGCTTGTCTGTTTTTTTTTTTTTTTATCATCGGCACTGTCACAAGTATTAAATCACACCTATTACTTTTTGGATTCTTTTTTTTCCTCAGGACAAACAACAGAAATCCTGACACACTCCTTCGTCATCTCCTCATCCGTTGATTGTTATTGACAGGAACCAAGAAGGCGAGGGCCCGGGTCATACTCAGCTGCTGGGTCCTCTGAGGGAGGTCAGCTTTCATTCACAAGTCAAACACACCACGGTGCAAACACATGCACCACTAGTGTCTGAGAGGAGAGGATATTGGCGAGCGTGTAACATAAACAGAATTCAGGTGTTGTGTACAGTCACAGCTGTGAAAGACTGCCCTGATGGAACATCTTTTATGTTTCGTATCGTATTGTTGAAGTGATATCATATGTATGTGTGTTCGTCAGGTGGCCCAGTCATCTATCACACCCACCAACTTAATTGCAAGGGCTTTCTTGTCCATCATCCCTCTTGATGGAAAGTGCAGCAGTCTGTGGGAATCAAGTCTCGGCTTTTTTTAAAATTTTTTTTTTTTTACCGGCTACACCTCAAAAGCAATAGACCTTTTTTTTTTTCTTGAGCTGAGACCTGGAGAAAGACAAAGAACAAAGATGGATGTCTGTGTTGAAAATGACGATGATGATAGCTTAATTAAATCAGGGATTCCCAAATGCTTTCTGTCAAAACATTTCAAGCCTACAATAAAAGACACATGTCTCTTTTGGTATATTGACAATACCCACATGGGAAAGAGCAGCATCTCCATATCTTTGATGTGAATGACGGAGACATTGATATTCAATGTACCAAAGAACATTTTATTGGTTAAATTGTATTTTCTTCCTTAATTTCCTTTTTGTCTTTTAGCAATTAAGTAATTTTCCAGTTAAGTCAGTGGCTCCTGGCTCTCTGGTTTGTGAACCCTCCTCACGGGTTACCCAATAACTTTTCCTTGCAGAAATGTTGTGTCAAAATACACCAACATAATAATTAAGTCATGAGTGTAGGTTTATCACCTCAAATTTATCCTGGTAACCTCTTGAGGTTCCATCCACCAAGATGGAAGCCTCCATTTTTATCAAATGTTTAAAAGCATTCCGTATATTATATATATTGTATATTCTCTAGAGTTGAGGTTTCTCCACACTACTCTTCACTTCTCTACACTGTCAGGAACACATCTAAAAGTACAATCAGACTAGTAAATACATACCTCCAAAGACACACATTCTTGCATTCCCAGATGAATCACATTCACATCATTTTCACAGGAAAAACATGGGTGTTACTTATAACATTCACAGAGACTCTGATACTGATTTGAATGTAAAGCAGATTTATTATTCTCACATGTCAAACCATGCCATGAAAAGAGGTGAATTTTACTTTCACAGACAACTGTGTGAAAAATGAACCCGTTAAGAGCATCTACACTTACACCACTTGCACATTTGGCAAGTTATTGGTGCAATATTTACATTTATGTTGACAACAACAATAGTTGAAACACAAAGTAACAAACTGAACCTTTTGTACAATCCATATAATTTCCATACTGAAATAAAATATGATATTTCATTTTGTAATGTTTGGACAATGCAAAAGAAGCCACCAGAAAAGGATTTGTCCAGCAGATGGCACTGTGGCACCTGTCTTCTCACAAACAGGGATGTGCTTTCACAACTGAAACTCTTCAGGAGACACTGCCACACCATCAACAAGCCCTGCTGAAGAGCTGTTGACAGAGAGAGAGGGGGGGGGTGCTTTTGTGCAGCCAGGACTAGTGAGATAATGGCTTTTTTCATTATTGTATGTGAAGCTTGTGGGCGTGTGACTCTGCATGTGTGTGTATGCATGCATCTACTGTATGTGTTTGAATGGGGGAGGTTGGGTGTGTTGGCTGTACTCTCACCGTCTAATAGATATCCCTGTCCAGCTTGCCATTTAGAACTGGAGAGCAGCCAATTGTAGACTGCGCTCTCTCTCTCTCTCTCTCTCGCTTTCTGTCTCTCTCTCGCTCTGTCTCTCTCTCTCTTTTCGGACAATTGGATTAGTGCAGAGTGATAGAGTAAAGACAGAATCTCACTGCTGCAGCCAGTAGCTTGGCCTTATGCCATATCATATTCACATGCACATGTACACATGATGCCACATAAGCACACACACACAGACGCACACACCAGGCGAATTTACCCCGAGGCTAAGCTAGCTAGTTTGATATCCAGATGGTTTAATTACTGCAAGTCTATGAACAGTCA